TAGAGAGGGTCCTTCCTCAGGCCACTGCAGAGGTTTCAGGCAGGGACAGGGGAGATAGGTAGGAACAGTTCCCCTCTGGACTGCACTCAGCAAGAAAACCTTGAGGCTTCTTGGCCATCTGGGGCACCAGCACGGGGCACCAGTGTGATATCCTGGCTCTGGGATCACTGCGTATTTCCTGGATGACCTTGGGCAGGTCACTGTACATTTCTGAGCCTCAGTTTTCTCAGCTGTAACATGGGGATAATTCTTCACCTCCATCATAAGGCTGCTGAGAGAATTTGGTTGGATTCTGCGTATAAAGCGCTGAGTTCAGGCCGGGCAGTTCTAAGAGCCCTCAGCCGGCCACTACCTTGCCTTTGTGCTTGGCTCCATGCTGCCCTGAGGGATCAGGTCTGGCCTGTGCACTGTGTTTTCCCAGCACAATGCCTCAAAACAACATCCACGGGCATTGCATGAATGAACGAGCGAATGAATGAACCCATCCAGTGTTCTTGGAACCAGAAGGCACAGCATGTCATGGCGGGGACGGGGAGGCATAGAGTTTAACATTCAGTCCCTTTGGGGAAGGCAACAGGGTTTCTACTGTAGCTTCATCTTGCCAATTTGTCTTTCCTCTCAACTTTGGGTTGTTTTTTCTGGACTTTTCTCCCTAGTCTGGGATGCAACCCTTCCTTCTCCAGGTGTGAGGCCAGATTCCCCCTGAGCTGTGAGGGTCATGCTTCAGGTTCGGGGGAGGCCTCCAGCCCAGAATGTTGTCTGTATCTAGAGGCCCCTCTGGCTCCCAAGCCCCAGGGCCAGTGGTGGGGGCTTTAAGGGCCACCGGCCTCCGTGAGGGCAGGAGGGGCCTACTCTCCCAAACGAGCTCCTCCTCTGTCACGAGCTGTAGGCTGGAAGCCTGCTGAGGGCAGAGGACGTGTCAGATCCCCTGCTGAAGGCCGCCCACTCGGCACAGCATGTGCACCTCACTGTGTGCATCACGGCATCCTGAAGAGCACATCAGCTCTGGCTCCTAACCCGGCTTCTCCACCTGCTGTGTGACCTTGGGCAAGTCACTTAACCTCTCTGAGCCTCAGTGTCCTCAGGTGCGATCATGATAGCTGATACGCTTTCTAGATGAACACTGTTTCCATCATTTCCCAAATCCTAGGAGGCACGATTCTTCTCTTATGACAAACGAAGAGCACAGAGAGAAGAAACTTGCCGAGGTCACACAACTGGTGAAGGGCTTGGCTGGGGCTCAAAACCTGGCCTCTGGTTCCCATTTTTGACGATGCCACCCCTAAAGTGGAGGGCTGTGATGTCCAACGTCCAGGGACACCATGCCCTCTCAAGCAGACCCTCGGCTGGCCGTTCTCCTTAGTAACAAGAGAGGGGTGAATGAGTGGGAGGAGGGAAAGCAGGAGGCCCCCAGGTCCCACAGGGCGCAGGAGGAGGCCCGGGAGAGCAGGGGGCCACCAGGCGCTCTGCACCCACGTGCGTGGGGGCTGCCACGACCTAAGCCCTGCGCGGCCCGGCTGCCCACTGGCTGGACCGGCCGCCCGCAGCACCATCTTGAGAGTATTAGGGGCTGCTGTTCACAGATGTTTTCTGTTACGTGTTATTTGTTAGTCTAATGAAAGGAGGTGCACTGGCTTTCAAGACCTCGGCGTTCTGCGGGGTTTTATATGGGAGGCCTGTGCAGAGCTCTGGCGGCCAGAGCAGGCTGCGAGGCCCCTGCCAGGCGCGCCCGCCCGGCGGCTCCCGCTTTGATTCCGAGGTTTGCAGCCATCCGCATGGTAATTCCAGCTCTGGTTAAATGTCATTTTTAATAACGCCATTTCTGGCGTGTAAATGTCTGCGCCCACGGCAAGAGGGGAGGCCAGCGAGGGAGAGACCAGCGCCAGGGAGGAGAGACGGGAAGGAGGGTCAGGGGCCAGTGGGCAGAGTCTGGGGAGAGGAGGCTGCCCTGCTGGGGACAGTGGATCCCCACCCCCAGGGCGATGTTATGTGCAGGGTGAGTGAGGGTGGCAGAGAGGAGGGGCAAGCAGGATGCCAGGAGGGGGACTTTCCAGTGACCAGAGTGGCAGAAACCCCCAGTTCAGCAGAGAGGCTTGACTGTCCCACCCCAACCCCGCCCCTGGCCACACAGCTGGAGGGAGTCAGGACACTGGAGAGGGAGGGACAGGAATCTTCCCCTATCACAGTGCCCTTTTCCTCCCAGGCCCTGGGCTGCCTGGGCCGGTGCTCGGTAGATGCTCAGTGATTGCTAGAGTTCAGTAGGCTGAGAACAACTGCTGTCTCCTAGACCTGGCAGTGCACCTTCTACACGAAGTCAGGTCTCTGCAATGCTGGGGCTTGGCCTGGAAGCAGCCCCCTCCATCTCCTGTACACTGGGCCCTTCCAGACGCTTCCAGATCCATGCCAGCTTGAGCTCTCTGTGGCAGCCCTTCTATGTCCTCCATCCCCCCAAGAAGACCATTTGGCAAGCTGAGGAGGAGGATGGAGGTCCAGAGTCAGCTCTGGGAGAAGCCTACACCAGGGTATAAAATTGCTGGGGGCTGGAGGGATGTTGTTAAATGCAGATGCCCAAGCCCGGCCCCAGAGAGTCTGATTCCGAGGACTGGTGTGAGGCCTGGGAACATGCATTTTAATCAGCTCCCTGGGTGGAGCTGATTCATGGGACCACATAAAATACATCCATTGACAGATAGCCCAACCCTCTTGTTGTACAGATGGGGACACTGAGGCTCAAACCAGCGACGGGGCATGTCCTGAGTTGCAGAGTTGGGCAAGGCAAGGTGGGAACCCCAATTTCCTGGCTCCTACTCTGGGGTCCTTCTTAGTGCCTCTTGGGCATCAGTGTCACGGGAGGTGACGTGCCCTCACCTTGTCAGACCTGTAGCAACAGGTGCTCGTTCAGCTCTGGGGTGGAGAGACCCTTGGTGGAAGCTTCCAGGCCTCACAGCCCTGGGCCTCCTGCTCTCTCACTGTCCCCAGCCCAGGACCTTCTCCAAACTCTGCAATCCTTGCAGTCCTCTGTCCAGCACCTCCGGCCCACTGCCCGGCCTCTCAGGCCCCGGCTTCCTGGCTTCTCCATAACTCTGTCGCCCCTGCTCCCTCCCAACCCCTCCCACTGGCCCCCGAACTGGAAGGTCCCAGCTGCCCATCCCACGCACATAAAAGCAGAATCGATCACAAAGACAGAACAAAAATAATATCTCCCAGAGCCGGCTTCATTTTTAGGACACAGTAAAAGATATCATTACTCGTAAGGAGCCCCACATGGACCATGTCCTGTCATCATGGTGGCCCCCCAGAGCTCGCCTGGGAACAAACAGCTGCCCAGATGTGGAAGGGACACGAAGCAGGCAGCCGGACGTGGGCTCGGGCCAGCGAGAGCAAGTGGGGAATCAGCACTTTTTTTGGTCTTTTAACGACCTTGATTCCTGGGACATCTTGAGATTCCATGGCTCCTGGGTTCTGGCCAGAGCGGGCTCCCCCTGCTGCGCCCAGCAAGGCCACACTCCCTCGAGGGCCACAGCCTCTTCCTGAGCAGCTGCGGCCAGCCCTGCCCCCGCCCTGCCCCCACCCCACCCCCACCCCCCTGGACCAGAAGCACCCTGCAACATGCCCCCTGCCCCGTGCCACCTCCTCTACCTGCTGGATGCTGAGTGGCACCCCGCCTCTCTTCTGCTCAGCGTGGGAGCAGGCGAGATAACTTCCCCAGCCGCCCTCTGTCTAAACAGGAAGCTCCCACGGCCCTCTCCTGCTCACCACCTCGCAAAAGGCACTTAACCCTTGGCCCGCGCCAGCACAGATACGTCTGTCTGCTCATCCATCCACTAGCTGCCTGCGGCCGCCCTGGCCACCAAGAACACAGGCTTGGTCATTTGGGCTGGCCAGAGCCCTCATGATGGGGCGTGAGTCTGTGTGTGCGCGTGTGTGTTTGGCATGGTAGGGGGGGGGTCTGTGTGTGTCTCTGTGTCTGTGAGTCTGGGAAAGCCAAAACCACCATGTGGTTCCCAAATGCCAGCCCATGACAAAGTTTTCACCGACCTACCGCAAAATGAGAAGAACAGGAACAATTAGTGAGTTTTCTGTTAAGCTAAATTAAGTCAGTTGTGAGGACCTTCCTTTACTCTTAAGACGGAGATGCTAAAAGCTTCATTCTTAGACGAAAGCACGGGGCAACAAGAGGATTGTTTTTGTGAGTAAATGGCTTTTCTTGACAAACTTTAAAAACTGTCCACTCTATGCCAGTTCCTCTAAGTTTCTGGAAATTCCCCTGCAGCTTGAAACTTTGGGAACCACAGGGCAGGTAGGGGAGCTCCGGGCCTGGCCCATAGAGATTGCTCAGAAAGTAGCTGTGGAATAAATGAACGAGCAAGTGAGCACAGGACTCGAGAGTGGCAGGTGGGGTGCCTGCACTGTCACTGCTCCACAGAGAGAGGGGCCCCCACAGCTCTCCTATGTCCAGGCAGCTGCAGACAGGCCTGTGGAGGCTAAGGGAGACCATTGTAGTAGTTTCTGGGCTGGAGGTGGAGAGGATCCCCCACTCGTGCTTACACCTTCGAACACTCCTGAAGTTGGGCAGTCCCCACGCTGCCAGGCCTGGCCCGTCTCCCACATACCTGTGAGCCACCAAGCTGCTGAGGATATCAAGGAGACCCCTCCCCTGGCTGCCTTGTGGCCCCCTGAATACAGCCCACACCTGTCTGGGGGTGGACATCCATGGTCAGGCCACCCTGGCATTCCCGGGGCTCCAGGAGTGGCTACGCACAGTGGTAGAGAGCAAGGGGCTTTAGAACAGGACAGGCCTGGGCTGGAATCCCATAGGAATGGGAAAGTCTCGACAAGAGGCTTGACTACTCTGAGCCTCAGTTTGCCTCTCCATGAAATGGGGATAGTCAAAGGGCCCACTTCACATGGTTGGTGGGAGGATGATGGGGTAAGGCATGTGAAGCCCTGGCCAACACACAGTGTAAGCACACGGCCAGTGTGCTCCTGGTCACGCTCACCTGGTCCCCTCACACCCTCCTTCAGCCCCGCCATGGCCATGCCCCTTCTACTCCACGCCCACACCTGTGACCCAGGCAGCACACAGCAGAGTATGTTCAGAGAAGCAGGGGCTTAAATCACCCCCAAGGTCCACTTTCACCTGGGTCAGCCACTGTCCTTTTGGCCCTAGGACACCACAAAAGTTCTGCCTCTTCCAGCCTGACCTCATGTCCTGGCCCAGGACAAGCCACTGAAAACCCTTCCTTCCTGTCTCTACCCACTCGGAAACTCCTAACACGTGCACAGGGTCCATCCCAACAGTCCCATTCTGTGCCTCCCCCAAAGCCCATCCCCTCTTTAGTCCCAAACAAACCACAGCCTGAGTCTCCCCAACAACCATATGGGGCTTCTCCTTCCTGACTTCTCCAGCCCAAACGCTGCACTGTGTAGAGGAGAGAGGCCTGGCCTTGGGTTCCAAAAACAAATCCCGCCCCTCCTTTCCCAGCTGTGACACCTTGGGCAGGTTGCTTTGCCTCCCTGGGGCTCCAAAAAATAGGACGGCAATCACTAGCCCTGCCTGATTCACAGAGCTGCTGTGGGCATCTCAAGGAACTGTAATGGAGACACTTTACTAAGCACTTACTATATGCCAGGCACAGTGCTCGGTACCTGGCATGCGCACTCAGGACTCAGCACACCCCTATAAGGGACACCTCAGCCCCTCCTTCCCATTTCACAGATGGCAGCACTGAGCCTCAGGGCTCTTTTTAGGCCTCAAGGGTGGTGTGGAAGCAGGCACCGTCACTAGTGCTCCAGTTACTTTTCTGGAGTCTTCTGGGAAGGAACAGTGAGGCTCCAGCCTGCTGAGCTTCTGCCCACAGGAAAGGGCCCTTGCGGGGTTCTAGCCGGTCTGAGGCCCCCAAGCTCCACCCAGATGATCCACTGGATAGCAGACCATCCTGGAACCATGAACAATGAACTAATCAGCAAGTGCCCTCCCTGTGACAAAAAGGCAGAGAGGCAGACCACCACCCCCCCAACCCCAGCCACCCTGGGAGGCCCCCTGGGCTCTCAACCCCTCACTCACTCCTCCTGTCTCCCTGCAACCTGGACCTGCTGAGCAATACCCTCACCTGCCTGAGGGTCCAGGCACCAGGCCCAGCCAAGACGCAGGCTCAGAGACTCCACGTCCTGGGAGACGGGCCCATCACGGGGTTTTTCTAAGCCTGGGTCAAACCATGATCGCAAACAGCAGGGGCCTCACAAGCATCTGTGTGTTGTTGCCCACTGCCCAGGTGTGGAACTGAGGCCGACAGAAGAGACGTGACACACCCAAGGTCACACAGGACAGGGCAGCAAAAACCAGGACCCAAACCGGATGTCCCGACCCCCAGTCCAGTGCTCACTGGTGCACTCCTCTTAAATCACCTCTCAGGGCCACTTCCACCTGGGTCAGCCACTGTCCTGTGGGGCCTGGGACACCATGAAATTACCCGAAGTTCTGCCTCTTCCAGCCTGACCTCATGTCCTTGCCCAGGACAAGCCACCAAAAACTCCCATAACTCTGTCCCCCCCTGGAACTAGACAATGGGAAAGCAAGGAAGGGAGAAGGGAGCAGGCTTGTCTTTCAAAGGCCGGGTCTGAGGAAGCCCTTCAGCCCTTCCCCCCAGGCCAGCTCTGCCCAGGCCCCGTTTCGGAATCAGTTACAGGGAGGCCGATGAAAAACTGAAGTCGGCTGCAGAAACAGTATTACGGTTCCTCAAAAAACTAAACGCAGCATTACCATCGGACCCAGCAATTCCACGTCTGGGTATATCCCCCAAAGAATGAAAAGCGGGGACTTGAACAGACACTGGTACACCCACGTTCGCAGCAGCACTGTTCACGACAGCTGGATGCAACCCAGTGTCCAACGATCGATGAATGGCCTTAAAAAGGAAGATTTTGACACATGCCACTACATGGATGGACCTTGAGGACATTATACCAAGTGATGCCAGACACAGAAGGACAAGCAGTGTGGATTACACTTTTAGGAGGTCCCTATAGTAGTCAGATCCATAGAGACAGACAGTAGGTAGTGGCTGCCAGGGGCTCGGGGAAGAGGGAACGGAGAGCCGGTGTTTAATGGGGACAGAGTTTCAGTTCAGGAAGATGGAAAAGTTCTAGAGATGGATGGTGGTGATGGTTGCACAACAGTGTGAAAGTCCTTAACGCCATGGAACCGTACACTTATGAACGGCTAAAATGGTAAATCTTATGTTAGGTATATTTTACTACAATAAAAAAAAAAAAAAATTGAAGGCAAGTCTTCCAGTCTCTCAAACTTGATGGTCCCTTCAGTCCCTGTACTTGGCAAGAGGGAGGGGCAGGTCCCCCACCACTAACCAGACTCACCCCCATTAACAGATCGGCTCAGCCTGGTTCATCCTGCCTTAGACTCCAAGCACCTCATGTCCTGAATCTCTGAAAAGTGGATCACTTGGGATCCACTTGGTCCTTCCTGCAGTGCATCCTGGGGTCTTCCAAAACAGGTACCAGCCCTGCGCAGTGACCAGGCGGCCTCCCCGGGCAGGGGGGCTCACCCCTGCCTGGCTCCAGGAGCTTTGTTTATTTTCACAGTGTGTCCACGTCCCTGTTTCCGCCCTGCCCACAGGAGGGAATGCTTTAAAGAAAATCTCAGTTATTAATGTGGTTTCTTTTGTTGTAAGTCATTGCAAAGGCAGCAAAGGAGGGTTTATTTTCCTAACGTGCCTGGCATAGCTCAGCGCCCCAGCGCAGCCCTCAGCGTTTGATTTGGGAGGAACGCGAGACCCTGGTTTGTTCTGAGTCACGGGCAAAGCCACAGCCTTCCTGGCCAGTTCTGGGGAGAGCCTGGTCTTAGTAAGTCATTGGCAGGAATAGGCTATATCTACTGTGGCTTTGTGAAAACAAATGCTTTTTGTAATTTTTAAAAAATTTGTTGAGCCTGCTAACCCAGCAGGTTGAAAACATATCAATTTTCTAATTGATTATTGTTTCCATTAATCCTTATTTTGCTAATGGGGGCACCCCATCTTTCTTTGGTGCCAGTCTCTTTCTTTGGACCTGGGAACAGCTCCAGAAGCCACAGGAAAAGCCACTTCCAAGCATGTCTGAGGTGCCAGGGCTCCCGCAGGCCCAGGAGTGGAGGACGACATCACAGCCCGAGGCCCACGCCCGCTGGCCTGGGCCTGGGATCCTGGCACTCCGAGGTTCAGTTGCCTACTTCCAAGCGCTCAGTGATGTGGGCTGGGCTCCCAAGAAGGGGGGAAGAGAGGTGCTTTCTCCCCCGCCTTTGGAGCCTTCAGGACTTAGGGGCCCACATAAGCGGCAGCGGGAGGGGGCATCTGACCAAGAGGCACGAGCAAGAAGCTGGCCTCTGCCTTCCGCCTGCAGACCCAGACCCAGACCCAGAGAGCAAGCCCCGGGCTGCTCACTCCAGGGCTGGGAGGGGCTTCCAAGATGGGGAGGAGGGCAGCCTGTGAGCACCTCCTTGAGTCTGGCCCAGATTCTGTCCCACCTGACCCCACACCCACTGTGTCCTCTGTCCCCAAACGTGCCTGTGCCTGGGTATTCACCATGCCAGAAGCCCCTCTTCAGGAAATGGTCTGCAGGCCTCATGGGCTCCCAAGGAGGGTGGCCCGGCCCCAGGGGACTGCTGGGGAGACCCAGAACCCATTCAGCTGCCTGGGGGCTGCCAGTGGCACTGTCCAGGCTCTCACATCCCAGCTGACACTAGCTCTTCTGGGGTTCCCCGGGGAAAGGATCCACTGGCGACCTTCTGCACTGTATCTGGGAGAAGTGCGGCCTTCCACTATCTGTCCCCATGTCAGGGGCCAGGGTGGAAACAGGCACACCATACCCTGGCCAGGACTCGGGTCCCAATGCCTCAGTTTCCTTCCTTCTTGCCTCATGGCTCCCGCCCCCCTCTTCTCTCCTCTCCTTCCGTCTCCTCTGTCCCCCTCTCTCCTTCCCTCCCTTCCTTTTTTCTCCTGCGTTCAGTGTGTTCCTCCTTGTCTCCCATTCATCAGGGTGAAATCAGGGCCTCTCCTCTGCCCTGACGGGAGCCAAACTCAGACTGGCAGGGGGAGCCCCCACCATGAACCAGAGGGCACCCCCTTTTACCCATGGCCCAAACTGAACCCCTTCCTCCACCTTTCTCAGGATCTAAAGCCCACCTCCTCAGAGGGTGAAAGAGCTGTCGGGACACTGTGGTTAGTGAGTGGCAGAAGCCACTGGAGAAAGCCAGTGGCCTCACCTCAGCCACAGGCTGGCAACAGCTGGGCATGGTCAGAAGGTGCTCTGTGAAAGGCAGGTGTGTTACAGGCGTCCCCACAGGCGCACATGCTCCTGGACTGGGCTGCAGTCACCTCCGTTTTCCTGCACGTCTTCTAGTCTGAGTAGCCAAGGCATCCAGCCAGCCGGGGTACCCCTGAGACCTGGGAGCTGGTGCAGGAAGCGGGGGTCCCCAGGGGCAGGTGGGAAGGCTGCTGGGGTCAAGTGGGGAACACTTAAGGGTCCCAGAGCCTGTAGCCAGCCAGCCTACACGCCCCTGAGCCAGGGGACAGGGGCAGTGGTCTCAGACCACCTCATTCCTCTTCATGGCATGGGTGAGCATGGGGGGACTCTGGCCCTCCCCCTCCTCTGTCCCCCTCCCCATTGAAACTGTCCGGGGCAGGGACCTCTGCTTTATTTCCATCTTCTCCTTCTCCCCCCACCCCTTCTTACCAAGGGCTCAGGCCCCTGCGATCCTGTGTGACTTTTTGAAAAAAGCCACTTGGGTGAGTTGTTTGTTTGTAAAGCCCTTTCCTGATGACCTTTAACCTCTGCAGAGGAAAAGAGGCCTGGCCGGCTCTCTAGGCTGGGCCATTCCACCTAGGAAGCTGCTCCCTGGACAAACTGGACGGTGGGGAGGGGGAGCAGGCATCCTCAGCCCAGCCAAAGAACCCATCTCAAGACCTAGTAACAGCTGGGGTGGTAGCCGTGGGGAGTGTGAAACCCAGCAGTGCGACCCCGTCGCTTTGCCCCTCCAA